GGAGCCTTTAATGTGACCCCGGCGCGGCGCAGGCGTCAGCCGAGTCCCCGTCCCACGCTTGTCCCCAGGCCACCATCCCGCAGTTGCCGCAGATGTGGGTGGCCATAACTGCGTTCACACTGTGCTTTCCCATTGGCACCTGCCTGGAGGCATCTGGGGAAAGTCCCAGCTCAACCAGTGGAGGAAATGAGCACCCAATCGAGCCCGTAGGAGCCGGCCGAGAGGTCAGAGTGAGGGCACGACGACAGACGTTGGCAGACCCGGGCGCGTGAGTTCTGGTTTTGCTTGCTAGTTTGCCGTGTGACCTTGGGTGAACCCCTCCTGGTCGAATGAAAATGTTGGACTAGGTCGGGGGTAGGTTAAACTATGGCCCGGGGGCCAAATCTGGCCCCCCCACCTGTGTGTGCAAATAAAGTTTTATTGGCACACAGCCACATACCTTTGTTTACATGTCATATAGCCCCTCCACATATAGCCCCTGCCACAACAGCAGGGTTGAGTCGTTCTGACAGACCATCTGGCCTGCACAGCTGAATATATTGACTATCTGGCCATTTGCAGACAAAGTTTGCCACCCTCTGGACTGGATGATTTTTTTTTTTTGTTTTGAGATGGGTTCTCACTATGTTGCCCAGGCGAGTCTCAAACTCCTGAGCTCTAGCGATCCTCCCGCCTCGGCCTCCTGAGTAGCTGGGACGGCAGGCATAGAAAAATCTTTAGATGTCAAGAAGCTGCCAAACTCACGGTGGCAGACAGAAGTTTTTCAAAACTCTGTCTTTCCCTTGAAAGCTTGAATTTTATCTCTGGCAATAAATACTGCCAGTTGTTTTCCTCGAGGTGACAGGCTCGTTTTGTTCATTTTTAAGGAAATGCCTGCCAGACAACCCGGTCTGAATCATAGTTTGGCAGACACTTCCAGCAAGAACAGTGCCACCTGGAAAAGGCCACCGGTTCAGCCGTCGACACAGCAAACGTTCACGCAGGTGCTCTTCCTAGAGATGGCCATGTTCTCGATGCTTAGCGGGGGGCTTTGTGCGGACCTCCCCTTTCCTCACTCAGAGTATTGAAAGACGTGCGTTCTCCTGTTATGGGGCGAATTGCGTACCCCCCAAAAGATACACTGAAGCCATAACCCTCCGTACCTTATGTGACTTAATTTGGACATAGAAGCTTTTTCCTTCCTTCCTTCCTTCCTTCCTTCCTTCCTTCCTTCCTTCCTTCCTTCCTTCCTTCCTTTTTCTTTTCTTTTCTTTTCTTTTCTTTTCTTTTCTTTTCTTTTCTTTTCTTCTCCTTTCCTTTCCTTTTCCTTTTCCTTTTCCTTTTCCTTTTCCCTTCCCTTCCCTTCCCTTCCCTTCCCTTCCCTTCCCTTCCCTTCCCTCTCTCTCTCTCTTTCTTTCTTTCTTTCTTTCTCAATTCAAGACAGAGTCTTGTTCTGTGGCCCTGGGCTAGAGTGCGGTGGCGTCAGCCTAGCTCACAGCAACCTCAAACTCCTGGGCTCAAGCGATCCTCCTGCCTCAGCCTTCCGGGTAGGTGGGGCTACAGACATGTGTCACGATGCCCGGCTGATTTTTCTATTTTCTGTAGAGACGGGGTCTCGCTCTTGCTCAGGCTGGTCTCGACTTCTTGGCTTCAAGCGGTCCTCCTGCCTCGGCCTCCCAGAGTGCTAGGATCACAAGCGTGAGCCACCTCGCCCAGCCCATTGCAGATTGTTAAAGTCCATTTAGGGTGCTGTAACAAATTGCCTTAGACTGGGTGGTTTGTAAACAACAAAAATTTATCTATCTATTTATTTATTTTTTGAGAAAGCATTTTGTTGTGTTGCCCAGGCTAGAGTGCAGTGGTGTTGTCATAGCTCACTGTAACCTCAAACTCCCGGCCTCAAGTGATCCTCCCGTCTCAGCCGCCCACGTAGCTGGGACTATAGCACCTCACCCAACTGATTTTTCTACTTTTTGTAGAGGTGGGGGTCTCATTATGAACAACAGAAATTTACAGCTCTCAGTTCTGGAAGTTGGGAATTCCAAGATCAAGGTGTTAGCACATTTGGTGACTGCTGAAGTTCTGCTTTTTGATTTATGAATGACGCGTACTAACTGTGTCCTTACATGGGAGAAGCAGAGAAGGCAGCTCTATGGGGCCACCTATAAGGCCACTTATAAGGGCACCAATTCCACCTATGAGGGCTCCAGCCTCATGACCTAATCACCTCCCAAACGGCCACTTCCTAATACCGTTGACGTGGTGATCGGGTTCCACTACGGCGATTTGGCAGGTGGGGTGGAAGGGATGACACAGACATTCGGAAGACAACACAGATGTCATCAAACTGAGGTGAGTTCATTAGGGTGGGCCCTAATCCAATGACAGGTTTCCATATCAGAAAAGGGAAATTTGGACGCTCAGAGAAGAGAGAACCCTATCTTTTGTAGAGACGGGGTCTCACTCTTGCTCAGGCTGGTCTCGAACTCCTGGCCTCAAGCCATCCTCCCGCCTCGGCCTCCCAGAGTGCTGGGATCACAGGCCTGAGCCACCACGCCCAGCCACATATAGTAAATTAGTATAGTACATGTAATTTAAATTAGGGTGGTATATATTTTAAGATATATAAGTGGTATATAATTTAAGATAGCATATAGTAATTTAAATAATATATACTATATCACTGCATGTAGTGAATTAATATGTTAAATATAGAATATTGACTATACTATTTATACAAGACTATATACTGGGGAAGCCGACCCCCCCTACCCATAAAAATCTTATTTGGTATTTAGACATAATTTTAAAAATTTGAAGAAAATATTATTTTTATCTATTGCTGTTTTTGTTGTTTGCTTGTTTGTTTCTGCCCTCCCTCCCCCAAAGAGTGCTCCCTGGCCAGCACCCCCACCCTGCCCTGGGCGCCAGCTGCTTCTGCCCTTTCACAGGATGGCCTCCAGGGGGCGCTGCTTCTCTGCGCATTGCCGAGCCCAGGCCCTTCCAGGCTCAGAGTTAATTAATTTGGTTTCTTAACACTGCTCAGCCCGGATGCTTCCGTGAAGGGGGCGTGATGATGCAAGACGTCAAAGGAAGCCTAGAAATCTCCTGGCCTGGGGTTTAGAGCCTGCTCAAGGCATGATGACAATCGTGATCATTTTCTAAGAGTACAAGCCGAAGACTATTTTATACATTTCCTATGGAGAATTTCAGACACAAAAGTAGGCAGAACAGTGTCATGAACCCCCCTGCAGGCCGAGCCCAATTAACCTCCCCATCCCCCCCATCCACCTCCCCATCTGGTATTATTTTGAAGCAAATACAAATTATCTTATCATTCCATAAATATTTTTATTATGTGTCTCTAATAAAAGATGCACTCTTAAAAAAAAAACCAAAAAACTAACCACCATAACATTGTCACACTTCAAAAAAGTTGCCAAGAATTTTTACTACCCACGGATTCCAGTTTAGCCAATGACTGCTGGGTTTCGGACTCAGTATTTGGGATGACTCTCAGCTCACTTCCCTGCCGAGGGGACTTTGGCAAATTGTTTGTGACGATTATTTTTCTTTCTTCCTCCTTTTGTTTCTTTTAGAGATGAGGGGTCCCTCTGTCATCCATACTGGAGTGCAGTGGCATGATTACAGCTCACAGCAGCCTCCACCTCCTGGGCTCAAGGGATCCTCCTGCCTCAGCCTCTTGAGTAGCTGGGACTACAGGTGTGCACCACCATACCCAGCTTGAGGCCTATTTTCATCATTGATAAACCAAGGTGACAAATTAAAGTCCTCAAGTTGCTGGGAGAGTTGAGACGGTATGTATATATTACCACCTGAAACTTCTATCCCTCAAAATATTGTAACATAGGCCGGGCATGGTGGCTCACGCCTATAATCCTAGCACTGCGGGAGGCCGAGGCAGGAGGATCGCTTGAGGCCAGGAGTTTGAGACCAGCCTGAGCAAGAGCGAGACACAGTCGCTTACCAAAACTAGAAAAGTTTAGCCGGGCATAGTGGCACACACGTGTAGTCCCAGCTACTTGGGAGGCCGAGGCAGGAGGATCGCTTGAGGCCAGGAGGAGTTCAAGGCTGCAGGGAGCTATGATGATGCCACTGCACCATAGCCTGGGTGGGAAGGAGACTCTGCCCGAAAAAAATAAAGAAAAAAAATTGTGACACTATTATTACTACTGGTAGGGCAGTGGCTCTTGGTGAGGGGAAGGAGTATTTTGCTCCCCAGTGGACAGTTTGGCAATTTTGGGATACACTTGTGGTTGTTGCGATTGGTGCGTGTGTGTGTGTGTGTGTGTGTGTGTGTGTGTGTGTGCTACTAGTATAGGGGAGGAGAACAAGCATGGCGTCACTCAGCACCTCTTGTGGCAGAGGGCAGTCCCCGCAAGGAAGGACCGTCTGGCCCTGGGTGTCTTGCAGTACCGAAGACGGAAAACCCAGGTCGGAGACTTAGATTTCAATAACTCTCGCTGGAACCTTGACGTCGGCGGCCGGACTCGGCTTGATTCCTGACTCTGCTGCTTGTCGGGTGAAGCTGGCAGGAGGGATAATATTAACTAACCACGACCAGCATCTCTGGAGCCCCTGTCGCGATCCAGGCGTGGCGCAAAGCTCACTGGCGGTATAAACGCTTTTCATTCCCTCACCAGCCCGGGCCGGTGTTGGAAAACTCAGGCCCACAGAGGTGGAGCGTCCCGGGCAAGGGGTTTCATCTGTCTACACCAGGGGTCCTCAGACTTTTAAAACAGGGGGCCTGTTCGCTGTCCCCCAGACCCGTTGGAGAGTGCGCACCGTGGGCCCGGGAAGAGCCGGCTGCTAAGCAGGACAGGCAGCGGCGGCAAAAACACCCGAAGGGGGGGATAAATGTCCTCGGCGGGCGGCATGTCGCTCTCGGGCCGTAGTTTGAGGACGCCTGCTCTACACCTTGTTTTTTTCCTTCCATGGGACAGGTTCCTCATGTCTGCCTCCTGGGGACGGCCAACGCGGAGTGCCAACCAGCTGGCACCTCCCAGGCCCTCAGCGAACGGCATCTGCTGCGATCGGCTGTATTAGCCTGGCTGGCACACAACAGTTAACGACCAGGCCTGGCTGAGTGCCCGGCTAAGCCCGTGCCCGAGAGCCAGCCAGCCCCTTTCGTTATCTCAGTTGCTGGGAGAATCGGACAGGAAGAGACCCGTGAAGTACCGAAGACAAAAGCTACTAGGATTGCTGCGGGGGGGAGGGCAGGGGGGTGTCTTCCGGGTGGCACTGAGCCCAGGAAACTTTCTTCTCCAGCTTACTTCTCCAGAGGGTTCTACATTGGCCCTTCCACCTCCAGCAAGAGCAAAAGGGAGGCGGGCGCTGCAGAGGGCCTCTGTCCTGCCGGGGCAGCTCAGTCCTGCCCAGCCGTCTGTGGTCACGCACAAGCGTGGAGAAAGACAGAACAACCGCCACGGCTGTTGTGATGCGACTCTGATGTGACGACTGTTTACTGAGCACCTACTATGCGCCAGGCACGCCAACCTTGGCTGGCAAGATCCTTGTGTTCGTGGAACTCATGTTCTTTCAGTAGAGGCAAATAGTCAACAAGTAGAAGCATACCCGCTGGTGGTGAGTACCTTGCAGAAAGTTAAAACAGGGTGATGGCATCGGGAGTGACTCAGGGGGAAGCTGAGCAACGGGATGGTCAGTGGGAGCCTATCAGGAGGTAACACATAAGCTGAAATGCGAATGACATGAAAGGATGCGGGGTGGAGAGTTCAGGTACGGCACGTTGAAAGGCCCTGCGGCTGAAATAAGCTAGATGCGTTAGACCAGGGCTTCTCAGACGGCGGGAGATTCTGCCCCCTGGGGGACATTGCAGTGTCTGGAGATGTGTTTTAACTGTCTCGACGTTGGTGGTTGGGGTGGTGGTGGACGCCAGGGACGCCCCTCAATACCCTAAAATGCACAGGACGAGCCCCGCTGCGGGGCGTGATCTGGCACCAAGCGTCAGTCATGCTGGGGTTGAGAAGGCCCAGTTTAGAGAATAGAAAGAAAGCCAGGGTCAAAGTCAAGGTCAAAGCCTTCTGATCCTCCTGTGAAGCTCAGGAGGCATCACCGAGGGGTCACAGCCATATGCTGGAGGGGAGATGGGTCCAAGAAGCCTGGGGAGGGACCCAGGGAAATGGGGGAAGGAACAGAAATTACGGTGCAGGCAAATTCAAGGTCAAAAGATTGGTGGGTGGAGGCACTAAGAGAAGGTCTGGAGCCCAGAACTGGGGCCTCAGGGAGGTCAGCCGGGTGAGGTCAACTGGAGGGCCCACGCGGGTTGTGGGAAGAGGGCTGGGCGTCCAGGTTGGCTTTGGGGTGGAGGTAAGACCAGCCCTCACTCCCCAACTCTGCCCTTCGGGCTAGTGAGAAATTTCTTATTCCGAGCCTCAGCCTTCTCACACCCGTCAAGTGGTGACAGTCAACTCCACTTAATGTGTCTTTACTGCTGACTAAAGGAACCCTGCAGGAACTAAAGGAACTGCAGGAACCCTGGGTTGTCCACGCCCTGCACCTTAAAGGCTCACCGCTTGACCGGCCCCCTCCTGGGGGGTGACCTCTACGTCCTTGGAATGTCCTGTCTGACAAGAGCGTCTTTGTCCACCTGGAGGGTCTTGAGTCACAGGAGTCAGGAACAAAGTGATTTACGGTGTGAGCTTTGGGCCGCATGGCGCCAGCGGAGCCCTGGACGTGCTGGAGATTGCGGTCAGCCATGCAGGTGGTCCACCATGGCGACGCGGTCGACCTCCAATAAAAACCCTGGACACTGAAGCTCGGGGCGGGGTTCCCTGGTTGGCAGTGCACCATGCATGTTGGCCCGTGTCGCTGCTTGAAGACTCAAGCACTGTTCACACAGCTTCACCGGGAAGAGACACCGGGAGGTTCATTGTAGTCAAACATAAGCAGGAGGACGGCAGCTTTTCTGAATTCTCGGAGTCCTCCCAGCAAATCGTTGAACCTGGGCATGGTCTCGGTGACCCCCGAATGGCAGAGCCTTTCTTTTTTCTTTTCTTTTCTTTTCTTTTTTTTTTTTTTGAGACAGTCTTACTCTTGTTGCCCCAGCTAGAGTGTCATGGCATCAGCCTAGCTCACAGCAACCTCAGACTCCTGGACTCAAGCGATCCTCCTGCCTCAGCCTCCCGAGTAGCTGGGACTACAGGCATGCGCCACCATGCCTGGCTAAGTTTTTCTATATATTTTTTAGCTTGCCAATTAATTTCTTCCTATTTATAGTAGAGACGGGGTCTCGCTCTTGCTCAGGCTGGTCTCGAACTCCTGACCTTGAGCGATCCGCCCGCCTCAGCCTCCCAGAGTGCTGGGATTACAGGCGTGAACCACCGCGCCCGGCCCAGAGCCTTTCTCGAGTGGACAAGGCGGGGAAGGGAAGCTGAGGCAGAAAGGATGATATGAACAAAGACACAAAGGTATGAAAAAGCCCAGATTGTTCAGCAGGGGCGCTGCCACTGGGCACTTTACAGACCCATCCCCCGACTGCCTCATTCATGCTCTGTGCGCGGTGGGTTTTGGCATTGACCTTGATCTGTTAACCCACTGGGCTCCATTGCCTATTGCCTCTGGGTGTCCTGAGCCGTTCTCGTTCCTGTTTCACAGACCGCGTGGCTGAAGCCCGTTACGTAAACCCCCCGGGAAGATGATGGAGGAGCCAGCCTTCCGGCCGGGCGCACGGATGCCAAGTTGTCGCTTGTTCTCTCTGCTTCCAGCGGTGAGGGGGGTGCAGTGACAGCAGGGTGGGCCAGGGTCAGGCCCCCGGGGCATTTTCAATAATGTCGAACGGTGAGACTCTTCCCTGGACCACAGAGCATGTGCTGCTGAGTATTTCAAAGAGCACGTCTCAGTTCGACACCGTTGGGCCTTTTGTCGCCGCTCAGAGGCTTGGCAACCTCCCTCCTTGTCAAAGAGAGCTGGCCTCAGTCTCCATGCCTCCTCTGGCAGGCAAAGATTTAATTCCCCCTGGGGGCGGAATGGCCCCTATCTGAGGATCGCTGGTTTAAATAGCACACGTGGCCAGGTGCAGTGGCTCACGCCTGTAGTCCTAGCACTGCGGGAGGCCGAGGCGGGAGGATCACTTGAGGTCAGGAGCTCGAGACCAGCCTGAACAAGAGTGAGAACCTCTTCTCTACCAAAAATAGAAAAAACTCAGCCAGGCGTGGTGGCGCTTGCCTGTAGTCCCAGCTACTCGGGAGGCTGAGGCAGGAGGATCGCTTGAGCCCAGGAGTTGGAGGCTGCAGTGAGCTATGATGATGCCACTGCACTGTACCCAGGGTGACAGAGTGAGACCCTGTCGAAAGAAAGAAAGAAAGAAAGAAAGAAAGAAAGAAAGAAAGAAAGAAAGAAAGAAAGAAAGAAAGAAAGAAAGAAAGAAAGAATTAACTGAGTGTCATGCACCTGCAGTCCCAGCTACTTGGGAGGCTGAGGTGGGAGGATCGCTTGAGCCCAGGAGTTTGAGGTCGCAGTGAGCTCTGATTGCACAGCTGCATTCCAGCCTGCATTCCCGTCTCCAGAAAGTGTAAATAAACGGCGCACGTGGTGCCTGGACCTGGAAGGACCGTCCCCAGTCGGTGGCGGGTGTCTGTCCCTCTCGCCTCGGCTGCCAGGGCTGGGCACAGCTCCCGACAGCTCCCTGTGCACACCTGGGCTCGGGCTCAACTTACAGGGAGGCCCCGGGGGACCCAGGTGTTTGAGAGGCTGGCTGGTCCCTGGGCCCCGACACCCAGTGCCAGGAAACCGCAGTTGCTGTGGCTACGACGAGCGCTCGCTCGGGGCTGGAGCCGGGGAGGAGGCTCCTGTGCCGCGAGGAGCCGACGTCCAGAGGCCGTGGCTGGGAGGCCACTGTCCGCCCGTTAGCACCCACAGGCCAACGGTTCGGCTCCCTGGGGTCGCTGGAGGCGGTGGGGGCTGCAGGGCGACAAGGGGGCCGCGGGCGTCGAGACGGGTGCCCCGCTCCAGATGGCACTGCCGGGCCGGCCTCCCCGGCACACTGCCGGGCCACCCGTGTGAGATCTCTGAACCCCAGGCCCTTTCCCAGGGAAGACTTTTCGAGGTGGGCAGGCAGCAATGAGCGAGGGCCCCCTCAGCCCAGGCACCCGCCGGCGGCTTCTCCAAGGTCAGGTGGGCCCCCTCCCAGCGCCTCCGTCCCGGGGAGTGGCCATCTTCGTCAGTTCCACGGTGTCAGGTAAGGAGCAGGGCAGGGCCGGGGGCTCAGTGCCTGCAGGCACCCTCAGGGGCAGTGAGGGCAGAGACCTGGATGTGGGCGCAGCTCAGCCAGTGACCAGTGTGGGAGCCGGTGAGAGGGAGCCTCCTGGACCCTCTGTTTCCTCCTCGATAAACCAGACTGAGAGCCAGACTTGATGGAGTTGCTGCATGTCACAGGTGTATGGTGTTGCAAGTAACATGTGTGATGGAGTGCCGTGTGCCAGGCTTACAAAGTGCCAGAGTCTTGCCACGGCTCCATGGCCCCGCGTGGCTGGACGCTGCTCACCTCCCCACCTTCAGCTCACGTGAGCTTCTCCCGCCACGTGTAGTGGCCACGCTGGCCTCCGGCAGGCCCTGAAACCCACGGAGCTCTGGACCCATTATCAAGACCTTCACCCTCAGAGGTCTTTCCTTGCCTTCTTCCCTTCCTTTGGGGCTTAGCATAAACACCCCCACTTCTCTGCCCCCCCATCTAATGGTTTGTCCTTGTTCTTCTATATCTCGCCTCACGCAGGTGTCTTTGACAGCCCTCTTCCTAAACCCCAATTATTTACTTATTTTTTTACTCTCAATCATTTCATTTATGTGTCGGTTTCCCAACTGGGCTGTAAAATCATGAGGGCAAAAACTATATAGAGTGATGTCCTGGCAAATGTTCTCCAAGTTTTTTTTTTCTTTCTTTCTTTTCTTTTTTTCTGCTCCTTCTGCCTCAGCCTCCAGGTAGCTGGGACTACAGGTGTACACCTGCAAAGCTCAGCTGTTTTTTGTGGGTTTTTTTCTCTCCTTTCTTTTTGGTAGAGACAGGGTCTCACACTCTTGCTCAGGCTGGACTTGATCTCCTGAGCTCAAGCGATCCTCCTGCTTCGGCCTCCCAGAGTGCTGGGATTATAGGTGTGAGCCACTGAGCCCGGCCTTCAATTTTTTTTTTTTTATTTCATTTTTATTGTCTGCCAATTTCTGTGGTGTAAATGCTTCCACCACAGTCAATTTCAAGCTGCCGATGGACTTCGCTTGAGCAGGGAGTTGGGCGGAGCTGTGTGGTAGCACACTATTATCTAATAGTTCTCTTATGCCAAATCGATATTTTTTTAAATTTATTCGGGGAAAGGAGGCAGAGGGTATCAGCATTCCGGGGGATGCTGCTTCTCCAGCCCTGCCCTCCACCAAATCGGTATTTGTAAACAACCTCAAGAGCAGTGTTCACAGTCACATGTAGTAAAATAATTTGGGGGTGATGAGTTTTGAGTGTTTTTTATTTCTGCCTTTAGTGTCATGTATTCAATTGTAAGTTCCACTTTTAATTTTTGCATTCATTTAATGTGATTTTTAATAATGGCTGTGTTAACAAATGGCTCATGAAATCTCTGAAGATTTAGCAATCAGCCCTCCCAAGCCAGCAGGGGCCGGCCGGCCCATCCCACGTTGATTACATATGTATCTTGTTTGTCATTGTACCCAGATGCGTAGCAAGGGTCCAGGCACAAGGTAACTGCCTAATAAATATTTTAGGGACACATTTAAATAGCCCGTGGAGTCTGTAAGGCAGGCCACAATTGTACCACATCCCAGATGAGGAAAGTGATGAAAATATTTAGACTCGAGACAGATCCGAGACTGGTGTTCAGGTCAACTCCAGTGCTAGGATTTAGGCAGCTTTCTTTTGTTCTTTTTTTTTTCCATTTCTCTTATTTATTTATTTCTATATTTTTAGAGATGGGGGTCTCACTGTGTTGCCCAGGCTGGTCTCAAACTCCCAGCCCCAAGCGATCCTCCCGCCTCAGCCTCCCAAGTAGCTGGGATTACAGGTGTGTGCTACCGCACCTGGCAGGTTTTTAAAAAATATTTTATTTCTTTGAGGCGGTAGGCTTTTGGGTCCAGTGGCTTTGGGAAGCTCCTTTCATGGACACCCAGATGACCTCCCCCCTGGCCACGTGGAGAAAACAAATGTTCCTTCAATCACACAGAAGTGGAAACCAAAAGAAAAAACAAAAAAAAAAACAAAAAAAACCACAAATGTTCCTTCAACGCCCATACTGCAGTCTGTGCTTGTACTTGTAGGATCCAGCGACCCCACCAGCATCCTCTGAGCACCTGTGTTGAGTGCTAAAACCCAGCATTGACCATGCCAAGCGGAGGTTCTTTTTTTTTTTTTTTTGAGGCAGAATCTCACTTTGTTGCCCAGGCTAGAGTGAGTGCCGTGGCGTCAGCCTTGCTCACAGCAACCTCAATCTCTTGGTCTCAAGCGATCCTACTGCCTCAGCCTCCCAAGTAGCTGGGACTACAGGCATGCGCCACCATGCCCGGCTAATTTTTTGTATACATAATTTTAGCTGGTCAATTAATTTATTTCTATTTTTGGTAGAGACGGGGTCTCGCTCAGGTTGGTTTCGAACTCCTGACCTTGAGCAATCTGCCCGCCTTGGCCTCCCAGAGTGCTAGGATTACAGGCGTGAGCCACCACGCCCGGCCAAGCGGAGGTTCTTGACTCTGGGGAGCTTCTAGCCCTGCCAAGTAGAAGCATCACTCCCATTTTACAGAGGGCTAAACTGAGGATAAGCTGACACTTGGCACAAGGCTACACAGTGAAGTTGGTGGTAGAGAAGGTCTTAGGATCCAGGTTTACAGTGAGTGGGGCTGCCAGATTTAGCAGAAACAAACAAACAAAAACCCCAAAACAATCACAAAACCAGAACAATTTACATCTCAGATAAACCACAAATAACCCTTTAGTGTAAGTATATCCCAAATAGTGCTGGAATGGGATATACTTATGCTAACACGTTTATCTGGAATGCAGGTTCAACTGGGCGTCCTGTGTAATATCTGGCAACCCTAACCCAGGGGTGGTGACCAGCCGTCTTGGTTAACCCAGTGCTTAGGGTTTTGCTGAGATGTGGGCTTTTTAGAGCTAACCCCAGGAACGTTCTGGGCAATCCGGGATGGTAAACCTCCCTGGGTTTACCACGTTAGTTTTTTTTTGTTTTTGTTTTTGTTTTGAGACAGACTCTCACTTTGTTGCCCAGGCTAGAGCGAGTGCCGTGGCGTCAGCCTTGCTCACAGCAACCTCAATCTCTTGGTCTCAAGCGATCCTACTGCCTCAGCCTCCTGAGTAGCTGGGACTACAGGCATGCACCACCATGCCCGGCTAATTTTTTCTATATATATTAGTTGGCCAATTAATTTCTTTCTATTTTTAGTAGAGACGGGGTCTCGCTCAGGCTGGTTTCGAACTCCCGACCTCGAGCAATCCGCCCGCCTCGGCCTCCCAGAGTGCTGGGATGACAGGCGTGAGCCACCGCTCCCCGGCCGCCACGTTAGTTTTGGATCTTGATTTGCTGTGTGAGGGACTCCAGCCTCGGGGGGTACCTTAGTGGGTATTGGGGGTGGGGGCGGCCAGTGAGGCTCAAAGCAGATCTGTGGAGCTGGGCAGAGTTCTGGGTTCTTCCTTCTAACCCCTTCCATGCTCTTCCTTGCAGACATGGACGCGGAGAGGGAAGCTCTGCAGGGCACCGCTTACCCCGAAGTGCAGACCTTCTGCCAGAAGCACGGCTTGATGTTCGAGGTAACAGGAAGCCACCCCGGACTCCGGGCTCTGTTCCATGCTTTACCATTGAGTCTTGAAGTTCATAGTGAGATATAGATATACATATATATTTTTTTGAGACAGGGTCTTGCTCTGTCACCCAGGCTGGAGTGCAGTGGTGTCATCACAGCTCACTGCAGCCTCCAACTCCTGGGCTCAAGCCATCCTCCTGCCTCAGCCTCCCGAGTAGCTGGGACACAGATGCATGCCACTATGCCCGGCTAATTTTTCTACTTTTTTGTAGAGATGGAGTCTTGCTATGTTGCTCAGTCTGTTCTCGAAGCCCTGGCCCCAAGCGATGCTCCCATCTCGGCCTCCCAGAGTGCTGGGGTGACAGGCGTGAGCTGTCGCTGTTTTTGTCCCGCTCTGGGACCCTCCTGGCCCTGTACACACACTGGGGCCGCTTCAGGAGGAGCAGAAGGAGGCCTGCGGGATGTGGGGGTGGGGGTGGGACATGGGCCCCAAACAGTGTATCCTTGCACCAGTCCCCGGCAGGGGGTGTGGCCTGCACGTTTCCAGGTGGAAACTGTTGAATCATCTTCGGAGTCTCAGCTTCAGTGGAGGCTGCCTGCTCTCCACTGGTGACTGTGCTTCACCGCATCCAAGTCCCCCTCGATTCAAAGATTCACCGCAGTCTGTACATTTATCCCCAAGAAAGAGGCGGTGCTGGCAATCCCACTGTGCCCTGCCCTGGATCCTGAGACACAGCTCAATGTCAGAGGCACTAAAACGGAAAACGTCTGCGTTGAGAACCGCATGCAAATGCTCCGTGCTGGTCTCTTTAAAGCCCTCGCCAGGCTCCGAGGCATATGTTGTAAATATCCTAAAGCACCCCTGTGTCCGGGGACAGAGCTCTTGCCGAGGCCGGTCCCTGGCCCCACTTCCTTTCCTGTTCCCACAACCGATGGATCGCTCCTCCCCCTCCTCCTGCCCTCACGTTCAGTACTGCTGGCCTTTCACCCCTTGCTGTCCTAGGTAAGGAATTCACGTGTCTTTCTCTCCCAGCTAAAGAATTCAAGGGGGCAGGGACGGTCCCCTCCCGCTCTGTGCTCCCCTCACCCCAGCCTTCCGCAGGGTCAGCTTGGCGGGCTTGAATCAGGCCGTTCTTCCCAGCCCCCCTCTGCCGAGCAGCAGAAAGGGACCGCCAGCAAGCGTGCGGTTGCCAAGGAGACCTGGCCACGTCCAATTCTGGCCAAACTAAACCACCCTCCTGCAATGAAAGCTCTGCAAACAAGCGTGGACATGTCTTCCGCTTTCAGAGGCACACTTTGAAAGCACCCAAGTTCCTTTTTTAAAAAAAGTTTATCAGATATTGCTTTTTAAATTTTTATTTATTTAAAAACTTTTTACGTTTAATTTTTTTTTTTTTTCTTTTTGAGACAGAGTCTTGCTATGTTGCCCAGGTGGCTGGTCTCAAACTCTTGGACTCAAGTGATCCTCCCACCTCAGCCTCCCGAGTAGCTGGGAATACAGGCGTGTGCCACCATGCCTGGCTAAATGTTATTTTATTTTATTTTATTTTATTTTATTTTATTTTATTTTATTTTATTTTATTTTATTTTATTTTATTTTTGAGACAGAGTCTCACTCTGTTGCCTGGGCTAGAGTGCCCTGGCATCAGCCTAGCTCACAGCAACCTCAGACTCCTGGGCTCAAGCGATCCTCCTGCCTCAGCCTCCCGAGTAGCTGGGACTACAGGCATGCACCACCATGCCCGGCTAATTTTTTCTATATATTTTTAGTTGTCCAATTAATTTCTTTCTACTTTTAGTAGAGACAGAGGTCTGACGCTTGCTCAGGCTGGTCTCTAACTCCTGAGCTCAGGAGATCCGCCCGCCTCGGCCTCCCAGAGAGCTGGGATTACAGGCGTGAGCCACCACGCCCGGCCTAAATGTTGTTTTAAAATAAACTTTTGATTTTGAAATTTAGATTATAGGAAGTTGGCACAGACTGTACAGAGGGTTCTTATGTATCTTAAACGCAGTTTCCAGTAACTCCTAGTATCTTGCCTAACTGTGGTATAGCCAACAATGTTACCATGGTTACAACAAAGTTACAACCACGTAACAAAGTTACAAACTTTGTTACAACTCTCAAATTGGCATTGGTACATTACTATTATATTAACCAACCTCCAGACTTTATTCAGATGTTGCCAGTTCTCCATCTAAATCCTCTTTCTGGGCCGATGCAGTGGCTCACGCCTGTAATGCCAGCACTCTGGGAGGCCGAGGCGGGTGGATCACTCGAGGTCAGGAGTTCGAAACCAGCCTGAGCAAGAGTGAGACCTTGTCTCTACTATAAATAGAAAGAAATTAATTGGCCAACTAATATATATATACACAGAAAAAATTAGCCGGGCATGGTGGTGCATGCCTGTAGTCCCAGCTACTCGGGAGGCTGAGGCAGGAGGATTGCTCGAGCCCAGGAGTCTGAGGTTGCTGTGAGCTAGGCTGACGCCACGGCACTCACTCTAGCCCAGGCAACAGAGTGAGACTCTGTCTATAAATAAATAAATAAATCCTCTTTCTGGTAGAGGGTTCCCACCCAGAATATATCCCATTGCATTTAGTTGCAATGTCACCCTAGTATCCTCTGGTTGGGGACAGTTTCTCAGTCCCCTTGCTGCTCACGACCTTGGATGACCTTGGCAGTGTGAGGGAGGGCTGGAAGGGCGCCTAGACATTGCCCTTTTCCCCTAATCTGGTCTGTCTGATGTTTTTCTCAGGATCACACCGAGCTTATGGGTTTTGTTCAATTTCTTTTAATCCAGGCGTCCCCACTACAGGGAGAGGCTGTCAAAAATGACTGAAAGAAAGTTTATGCTTTTGTAAAGGGAATCGGGGGTTGGGGAGTCACCTATCATGCCACCTCGCTGACAAGCCCGTGCTTGTAATCCTCAGGTCGTTGATCTGAGGTGGGGTGTTCCGAACGCTGAGGCCACCAACTACCTGACCACGGAACTCTGCTTGGAGGAGGTCGACCGCTGTCAGAAAACATCCGTAGGACCCGCTTTTGTTGTGAGTCTCTTGGGTGGGGTGGGTTAGCTCTTACTCCTCGTTCCAACACCAGGGTGTAGCCCCTGCTCCCTAGCCGAGCAGATCAGTGGAGGGAAGCGGGTGGCATTTCTGCCATCGTACCCTTTTTCTATAGCCTGCCCGTGGCAGACATTGCTAATGGATCACAGCACTCTTTTCTGCAGAGCTAGCTGGGATCCAGGCATTAGCAGTCAAATGGCAGCGGCAGGTGAGCTGGGGAGTACAGCGTTGAAGCAGGAAGGAGTCTTAGAATTTGATGTGGACCTTCTCCCGCCTTCCCCACCCCATCCACTTTATGTCTGTGGAACTTTGGGATCCTGGAAAACCACAAAGAAGGTAGAAACCCATGGAGTCTTGGGAATTTTTTTTCCCCTCCGTGTGCTCACTGGTGTCAGGTTACAGAACCTTCTCTTGTCCCCCTCCCACTGCACCCCCTCTGTCACCATGTCAACCCCTGGCCCACAATTTTAATGCTTTGGGCTATTACTGTCAAATGATACCCCAGAGTCTTGATTTACTACACCACCAAGTTCCAGATACATACATGAACTGTGACATTTTGTCTCATGAATTCTAGAGTAGGGGCCGGCAAGCTACAGTCCATCGTGCAAATTTGGCCCACTGCTTGCTTTTATAAATAAAAATTTATTGGCCCACGGCCATGTCCATTTTTGTACATATTTTCTAGACCTGCCTTTGAGCTATAATGGCAGACCTGAGTTGTTTGGATGGAGACCACCTGGTTTGCAATGCCAAAAATACTGAATCTCTGGTCCTTTTTGGGAAAAGTTTGCTGACATCTATTCTAGACAGTAAAGAGGAAAAAAGCAAAGAAAGGGGCCAGACATGGTGGCTCACACCTGTAATCCTAGCACTCTGGAGGCTGAGGCAGGAGGATCGCTTGAGGTCAGGTGTTTGAGACCAGACTGAGGAAGAATGAGACCCCCATCTCTACTAAAAATAGAAAAATTAACCAGGCGTGATAGCTCACCAGCTGCTCAGGAGGCTGAGGAAGGAGGATCTCTTGAGCCCAGGAGTTGGAGGCTGCAGTGAGTTAGGCTGACACCATTGCACTCTAGCCTGGGCAAGACAGCGAGACCCTGTCTCAAAAAAAGAAAAGTGAAGAAAGTATTTTTGCTCAACACACTGTACTCACAAGGAAGCTTTGAGCAGCTCCAAATAAGAGGAAAAGCTGTGTGGAATCTCCCCTGAAAATAAATCGGAATGTAGGAGAGAGTGGTCCCCTTTCTAAAAGCTGTTTTGTAGTCAAATAAGAAAAATAAAGAAGGATTGTTTGGACTTAGAATTACATTGTCCAATATGGTAGCTGAAAACTACATGTGGCAATTGAACTTTATTTTATTATTTGGGGTTTTTTTTGTTTGTTTTTTGGTTTTTTTTTGTGACAGTCTCACTCTGTTGCCAGGGCAACAGAGTGCTATGGCATCAGCCTCGCTCACAGCAACCTCAAACTCCTGGGCTCACGCGATCCTCCTGCCTCAGCCTCCCGAGTAGCTGGGACTACAGGCACGCGCCACCATGCCCGGCTAATTATATATATATATATATATATATATTTAGTTGTCCAGCTAATTTCTTTCTATTTTTCAGTAGAGACAGGGTCTCATTCTCACTCAGGCTGGTCTCAAACTCCTAAGTTCGAATGATCCGCCCTCCTCGGCCTCCCAGAATGCTCTAGCATTGCAGGTGTGAGCCACTGCGCCCGGCCGGCAATCGAACTTTAAATGAATTAAAATCAAATGGAATTTGAACTTTCGTTCCTGGGCTGCACTAAACACACCGCCATGGGCTGCTGGCGGCCACCGTATTGGACAGCGCAGGTTAGAACTCTTCTAGCTTTGCAGAAAGTTCTGGCAGAGAGATGAGGGCCACCCTAAGAGAATGAAACTAAGATCCGGGCAGGGAAGGGGTGAGTAGAAAAAACAGGAGCTGTGTTTTTCCTCTGTCCTCACACCTCAACAACAATCGACACAGAAGACTCCTGTGACCAAACGTGCGTGTGGGTTTCTCCCCACCGATAAGCCCGAGATCCGTTCTGCAGGGGACACCAGCCGGGTGTCCTCTGATCCAACGCAGAGCCTGTCTACCTGGAGACGGCCGGATCCCACTGGGAGGTGGGGGGGGCTCAGAGCCACAGGACTGCACCCCTCTTTCAGATGCCGGTTGCAAGTCCCAGCCTCTGGGACTTAGGCTGAGCGGCTTCAAGGTGGGGTTCCCACAGCCCTCTCTTTGGGTTCGGCTGACTTGCTCACAGCACTCGGGGAAGCACTCAGTTAGTGAGTTTACTATACAGGACATGGCAAAGCACACGGATCAAGAGAGGCACAGGGCAGCCGTGTGAGCTTCCACCCTCCCCGGGGGCAGCTCCCGTCCTCCAGAGACCTCCATGTGTTCCGCCATCCCCCCAAAAGCCCCTCTCTTGTGCCTTTGATGGAAACCTCATGGGATAGGCCTGATTGGCAGCCGTGTAGAGGTGGCTGGACAGCAAGGGCAGGATCTAACCCTCCCAGACCGAGCGGGGAAGCCAGCAAGGCCCCTCTGTTGAGATTCCTGTTGGCTTCTCTGGGCAGCACTCCTTCCTCCAGGGTGTGGGGCAGGACCCCTTCTAAAACAGGGGTCTATGGCCGGGGCGCCGCGGCTCAGGCCTGCAATCCTAGCACTTTAGGAGGCCGAGGCGGGCGGATTGCTCCAGGTCAGGAGTTCGAAACCAGCCTGAGCAAGAGCGAGACCCTGTGTCTACCATAAATAGAATGAAATTAATTGGCCAACTAATATATAGAGAAAAAATGAGCCGGGCATGGTGGCGCATGCCTGTAGTCCCAGCTACTGGGGAGGCTGAAGCTGGAGGATTGCATGAGCCCAGGAGTTGGAGGTTGCTGTGAGCGAGGCTGACGCCACGGCACTCACTCTAGCCTCCGCAACAAAGGGAGACTCTGTCTCAAAAAAATAAAAAATAAAATAAAATAAAACGGGTGTCTACAGTCAGGCAAGGTAGGTCAGAGAGTTTATGGGCAGCTCAAAGACAGAAAGGCGGGGGAAGGTTCCTGCCTTGGAGGAGAGAAAGGAGCAGGTAGAAGGAGGGCAGGAGAAGGCCAGAGAGAAATTCTGTTTCCTGAGGCTGCTGCTTGGCCATGGAGTGTCCCAACATGGTAACAAAAGACTATATCAAGGGCCATGGGATGTATGAGCCAGGATCGGTGCATGAAAACCACCTATATGTGTATATATGCGTTCGTGTGCGTGCGTGTGTGTGTGTGTGTGTGTGTATAATAATATCACAGAATGTGAGAAGTTTTTTTTTGATTTATGTATTAGGGTTTAGATAGAGTCGGGCCTGAGTGGTCATTCCTTTGTCCTGCACATCCATGGCATGCGGGCACCTCTCTGTTTTCATTGCAACAACTTTAAAATGCATCCTCGCATTTGGAAGGCCCTCCGCCCCTGCTTGTAAATCTCCTTGGCAGATTTTTTTCCCTCTGGTCCTCCAACTCGGGAAAAAGAATTCCAGGAGGAATTTGGTTTTGCAACCCAAACTGCAGGCAGCGAAAAGCACAACGCGGCTTCCAGGCTGCATGGGGAACTGGAGGATGATCCCTGGGCTTCTCCTCCCAGGCCCGACCGACCAGCCCTGGAACCTTCCAGAAGGTCCCCCAGGTGGCTGGCTGAGGTCTGCTTACTTTCCGCTTTCCTTTTGGACCCGCCGTTACCCCTCTGTTGTCTCAGACCCGCAGCACGATTCTGCTCCGAGATTCTGATTTGGGGGACTTTCCACGAAAATCAGAGATGGGCCGGGGCCCTTGGAGAGGTGTCTCTCTGGTAAATAAGTCATTAGGCAGCACCGAGTGCGGGGACAGCTCCCCACGGCACTTCTGCTAAGAGCCTCCAGTCTCTCGGGCCACCAGCAGGCCTGGCACCCCCAGGGCTCTGAGACCTGTTCCCGGGGGACCTCTTCCTATTTCCCTCGCTCCGATCCCACAGACCGGAGCATTTTTGGTGTTTTTTGCTTGTTTGTTTGTTTGTTCTAGAGATAGGATCTTGCTCTGTCGCCCAGGCTGGAGTGCAGTGCAGTGGTGTCATCATAGCTCACTGCAGCCTCGAACTCCCGGGCTCAAGCGATCCTCCTGCCTCAGCCTCCCGAGTAGCGGGGACTACAGGTGCCTGCCACTAAGCCACCAGCTAATTTTTTCATTTTATTTTTGAGATGGGGGTCTCACTGTGATGCCCAGGCTGGTTTTGGACTCCTGGCCTCCAGTGATGTTCCCTCCTCTGCCTCCCAGAGTGTGGGGATCACAGGCGTGAGCCACCGGTCCCCACTTGGGCCGAACTTCTTAATGTAATCAGCACGATGGTATTGCCGGCAGGCTCATTTTGGTTTTTTTGTTTGTTTGTTTGTTTGTTTGTTTGTTTGTTTGTTTGGTTTTTTTGAGACAGAGTCTCGCTTTGTTGCCCAGGCTAGAGTGAGTGTTGTGGCGTCAGCCTCACTCACAGCAACCTAAACTCCTGGGCTCAAGCGATCCTCCTGCCTCAGCCTCCCAGGTAGCTGGGACTACAGGCATGTGCCACCATGCCCGGCTAACTTTTTCTCTATATATTAGTTGGCCAATTAATTTCTTTCTATTTATAGTAGAGACGGGGTCTCGCTCTTTTTCAGAGCTGGTGTTGAACTCCCGACCTCGAGCGATCCTCCCGCCTCGGCCTCCCAGAGTGCCGGGATTACAGGCGAGAGCCACCGCACCGGGGCTAGGCTCGTGTCCATGGGTTGGGCGGGCCTCCCCCGAGGTCACGGAGCTCAGTGTCCAGGTGGGGACAGCCGTGCCTCCTTCTCTGCCCGCCTCTCTGCCAGGCCCTCCTGGGGGACCTGTACGGCCCCTGCCCGCCCCCCGCGCTGATCGAGGAGAAGGAGTGGGAGGCGCTGAGGGCGCAGCTGGCCGCCAGGCCGAAGGACCTGGAGCTGGTGGCCCGGCGCTTCCGGAGGGACGAGAACGCCGTCCCCCCGACCTACGTCCTGCAGGCGCCACGTGCCGGGGAGGCCTGCGGGCCCGAGGAGGCCACCCTGACCTCCGTCCTGCACTCCGGAGCCCAGGAGGCCTGGAGGCTGGGCCTCATCTCGCAGGAGCAGTGGCACCGCTACCACCGGTCAGGTGAGGCTGTTGGGGACGCTGGGGGGCTGGGGGGGAGCGGTCCAGGAGAAACTGACCACCAACACGTTCAGAATATCCGTGTGCGGGCGCCAAAAAACGCGGCATTCTTGCCGGGCGTGGCGGGCGGTGCGCGCTTGTAATCCTAGCGCTCCGGGAGGCCGAGGCGGGAGGATCGCTTGAGCCCAGGAGTTGGAGGCTGCAGAAAAATTAAAGCTAAACCTGGCAAGCTGCAAGTATGGGTCACCCCATGTGGGCCCGAGAGCCAGCCCTACCTACCCTCTTGCTGCTTTTATGTGGAAACTGAGGCACAAGAAGGAGGAGACTCATTTGCTTACGGGGTGAGTAAAGACCCAAACCTTCAAGCCTGGGACTATCTGAGTTCCTCACTCAGCTCCCAGCGGGCTGTGGCCGCACCTCCCTGCAAGGGTCCTATGTCACGGAGTCCCTCCACTTGGACACCACCTCTGTGACCACCACCTGCCCTGGGGCACCAGCCTCCTGCCCGACTCTCCTCTCTAGCCTCTCCCTGCCCGCCCTGTCTTCCACACTGGCCACTAGAAAGGATTTTCTTTTTTAAAATGTTTATTTGCTTTTTGGAGACAGGATCCCACTCTGTCACCTGGGCTGGAGTGCAATGGCAAGGTCACAGCTCACGGCAGCCTCGAACTCCTGGGTTCGAGGGATCCTCCGGCCTCAGCCTCCCAGGTAGCTGAGACTACAGGCACGTGCTGTGACAACCGGCTGATTTTCCTATTTTTAGTAGAGAGGGGGGTCTGACTCTTGCTCGGGCTGGTCTCTAACTCCTGAGCTCAAGCGATCCTCCCGCCTCGGCCTCCCAGAGTGCTGGGATTACAGGCGTGAGCCGCCGCGCCCGGCTCGGCCGAGTGATTTTGGAGGGGAAGGAGTTGTGGGGAGCTCTGTGCAGGTGCTGGCTACACGCAGGTCAGCATGTCTTGTTTCCACGGTTATCTTGAGTAGGGGCCTTCTGGCAGTGTGGCTGACACCAGCCAGACAGCAACAAAATTCAAGGTTAGCTTCTCAACACTCCACCACGGCAGAGTCCCACAATCTTGGTTTTGGTCAGCTGTTCAAGGCCAGTTCCTGGGAATTCTTAACCAAGCACACAATTAGGCATTGAAAAAGAAAGAGTTATCAGTTAGTTTTAAGATGGAGTGATTGTTACTGTTACAGTCTCAATATATTGCCCAGCCTAATCTTAAACTCATGGCCTCCGCGATCCTCCTGCCTCAGCCTCCCAAAGTGCTGGGATGAGAACTAGAAAAGATTTTTTTTTTCCTAAAAGTACAACATGATCAAGTCATTTCTCTACTACCTGCTGCCACTAAGAAATAGATTGTTTCTTATTATTTATGAGTTAGTGCTATGCCAGTGTGTGGATTATTAGTATGTAAATTTATATTACCAAAAATGTTAAATGTATGAATTTGTGTCATCGACGTATTCAATATATGAATTTATATTATCAATGTAAAATATATTGATTTGTTTAAAGATAGTGAACATAGGAATTCATATGAAAGTGTTTTAGGCCAGGCGTGGTGGCTCACGCCTGTAATCCTAGCACTCTGGGAGGCTGAGGCGGGAGGATCGCTCAAGGACAGGAGTTCGAAAGTGTTTTAAATTTTTGGGTTTTTTTGGGGGTGGGACAGGGTCTTTAGAGACCTTTAGAGACTGGCTTTTTTCCTTATGCATGGTATGTTCAGCTTTTTACAAGGCTTATTCCATAGAAAATTCACACAACAGCCCCTTATCAGGATAAAATAGTACGCCCATGTTGCAGAGGAGAAAACAGAGGCTCAGAGAGGTGCGGTGACTTACTCAAGGCCACACAGCCTGCAGGCGGTCTTAGATTGGTTCGTGCTGAAATGTGTCTGAGAGGGATCCCATTTTGGAATTGTTAGTTGCCTTCTTCATCTTTGGCCTTCATTCACAGGGCCCAGTGTGTGTGTGTGTGTGTGTGTGTGTGTGTGTGTGTGGGTGTGTGAGGTCTCCCCAAGGAGGACTTCTGAGTGGCTCTTGTCTGTCGGCTTGGAGGTTGAGCCCTGTCTCCAAGGGCCTGGCTCATTCAGCTGCAGAGATCTAGGAGTCTCCACTGAGCCTAGAGCTGCTTCAGAAATAACTCCTTAGGTCTGACTGCTATTTCAAAACAACAGCCTCCAAGGAGAAGTCAGTGTGGACCCGTGACTCTAGAAAATATGGGTCCTTAGGGCAGCTGCTGCATGCTCTGGGGCAAGGGTCAGCAAACTATGGTCAGAGGGCCAAATCCGGCCCACTGCTTGCCTTTGTAAATAAAGTTTTATTGGAACATACTCAAGTGCATTCGTTTGCACGTTGTCCATTTGCTTTCATGCCACAACAGCAAAGTTGAGAAGCTGTGACAGACACCATCTGGCCTGTAAAGCCTCAGATGTTTACTCTCTGGCCCTTTACGGAAGAATGTGCCGACCCTTGCTCTCAGAAAGACATGAGTTGGTTTCTACGCGTCCAGGAATGCTCCCTCCAGGCTCATTGGAAACTCTCTCTCCAGCCTCTGCGGCTTTGCAAATGTTTTTCTGCAGCTTCGAATGCCCAACTTGATTCCTTCGCTGTCTGTCTGTTTACGTGTCCATTTATTCATTCATTCTGGAATATCCACTCCACCTCGACACAGGGATCTTTGAGTGCTGTGCTCAGCGCTAGATGCGCAGTGTGGAGAGCAGAGGCTGGCTCAAGTGGGAACCCAACAAGCAGTTTGTTGAATGAATGGGTGAGGGCGGCACCTGAAACCGACAACACTGGATTTTTTTTTTTTTTAAATTGAGGTGAAATTCACAGAGCATGAAATGCACCATTTTAAGGTACAGTTGAGCCTTGAACAACTTGGAGGTTAGGGGTGCCAGCCACGCCCCCATCTTCCCCCGACCCCGAGCAGTTGAAAATCCACATGTAACTTTTGACTACTTAACTGCTAATAGCCTGCAGTTGACCCAAAGCCTTACCGTTAACGCGAAGGGCTGATGAACACAGATTTTGTATGTTATATGTGTTATGGACCGTATTCTTGCAATAAAATAAGCGAGAGAAAAGGGATGTTATTGAGCAAATCCTAAGATAGAGAAAATATATTTCCTATTCCTTAAGTGGAAGTGGGTCATCATGAAGGTCTTTATCTCGTTGTCTTTATGTTGAGTAGGCTGAGGAGGAGGAGGAGGAGGAGGAGGAGGAGGAAGAGGAGGGGTTGGTCTTGCTGTCTCAGGCATGGCAGAGACAGAAGGGGATCTGAGTGTTTAAATGGACCCACACAGTTCGAACCCCTGTTGTTCAGGGTCAACTGTATACAAGTCAGTGGCATTTAGCATCATACACTTTTTTTTTGCTGTGTTGGACAGCCATCGCCTCTGTCTAGTTCAGAACATGTCTGTCAGCTCCAAAAGGAGACCCTGTCCCCAAGCCCCTCCGCCAGCCCCTGGCAGCCCCCGATCCATTTCCTGTCTGCGTGTTGGCCTGTTCTGGGCATTTCATGTCGTTGGGATCGTGTGACCTTTTGCACCTGGCTTCTCTCACTCGGTGTGATGTTTTGGAGGTCCCTCCACCTCGTAGCGCTTGTCGGTCCCTTGTCCATTTCCGTGGCGGAATAGCAGGCCACTGCCCAGATACGCCATGTATTGTTCATCCTCTTATCTGTTGCTGGATGCCGGGGCTGTTTCCTCCCTCCGGCTGCTCTGCACGGCGCTGCTGTGAGCCAGGGCATGCCAGCATTGGTTTGAGTCTCTGGTTTCAGTTCTTTAGGGGGCAGATATGTAGAAGCAGAATCGCTGGGGCCCGTATGACGCCATGTTTCACTCTTTGAGGACTGAGAGTATCGTTCGACGACGGCACTGCTTCTCACACCGGGTCTCTGTGTTGCCTGCCCCAAGGATTCTTTGATTAATAACAGCTAAATCCGTGCAGCCCCCCGGACCAGCAAGCCTCGTCGCTTGCTGGAAATGCAAACCGACAGGTCCCACCCAGATCTGGGGAATCGGAGCTTCTGGAGGTGGGGCCCGGCCATGTGGGTTCATCCGAGCTCCCCCTAGAGCAGCGGTCCCCAGCCTTTTTGGAAACCAGGGTCTGGTTTCTTGGGAGACAGCTTTCCCACAAACTGGGGTTGGATGGTTTCTGGGTGACTGAAGGGCATTGCATTTACTGTGCAGTCAGACCTCTGTGCTAATGACGACCTGCAACCCCAGCGCTAGCGTCACCGCCTGGGCGCCACGCCGACCATCAGGCACTAGGTCCTCAGAAGGAGCCGCTACCTGGATCCCTTGGGTGCGCAGTAGGGCTCGTGCGTCTGTGAGAATCTAGCGCCACCTCTGACCTGACAGGAGGCGGAGCTCGGGCGGGGATGTGATGACGGGGAGCGGCTGTGCATACAGATGATGCTTCCCTTGCTGGCTCACCTGCTGCTCACCTCCTGCCCTGCGGCCCGCTTCCTGACAGGCCACGGGCAGGTACCGGTCTGAGGCCTGGAGGCAGGGGACCACACCCCCAGGTGACTCCGGTGCACGTTGAGCTTGCGAACCGGTGCACCCCCCCCCCCCATGAGCGTGCCCCCGAGCGGCCCCTCCCAGGCTGGCTGCGGACACAATAATCACGGGCTCCCCCCCCACCTTTGCAGTCATCGAGTGGGAGATAGAGCGGGGCGTGCTGAGCTCAGAGAGCGCGGACCGGGGAGCCACCGTCTTCCTTCGGGAAATCCAGGACCTCAACAAACACATCCTGGAAGACTGCGCCCTCAGGGCGGTGGACCGGCTCGCGGACGGCTGCCTGGACGCCGAGGCCCAGAGCCTTCTGGGCGGCCTCAAGGGGCGCGTAGCCGGCGCCCGGCCGGGGGTCCTCAAGCTCCACCAGCTCCCGTGGAGCCGCGACCTGGTGAGCCCCAGGAACAAGGCCCATGCGCGCTACCTGAGGGAGCTGAGCGAGCAGTTCGTGGCCAGGGCCAACCACCAGGTCCTGGAGCACCTGCGCGAGCTGGAGGTGGCCGGGCAGGAGCTGGGGTGGCTCTACCAGGAGATCCGCCACCACCTCTGGCAGAGTGCCGAGGCCACCCGGGCCTTCTGCGGCCGCCAGGAGCTCCTGGCCCGGCTCGGGCAGCGGCTCAGGCAGGACGACGGCAGGCCCCACGCCCCACTGGTGCTCTCGGGGCCTGCGGGCGTCGGGAAGACGGCCTTGCTGTGCAAGCTGGCCGGGCAGGTGCCGGGGCTGCTCGGCCACAAGGCGGTGACCGTCCTGCGGCTGCTGGGGACGTCACAGATGAGCTCGGACCCCCGCAGCCTTCTTAAGGGCATCTGCTTCCAGGTGTGCCTGGCCTACGGGCTGCCCCTGCCCCCCGCCCAGGTCCTGGCCGCGCACTCCAGGGTGGTCCAGTTCTTCCACGTCCTCCTCCGCACGGTCTCCTGCAGAAACTTCGAGTCCCTGGTGCTCCTGCTGGATTCCCTGGACGACCTGGACTGGGCCCCCCACGCCAGGAGGGTCCCCTGGCTGCCCCTCACGTGCCCCCCGAAAGTGCACCTGGTCCTCTCGGCTTGCTCGGGGCCCGGGGGGGCTGTGAGCGCCGTGCGGCAGGTGCTGGCGGACCCGGGGGCTCGCTGGGAGGTGACGCCCCTCTCGGGAAACCTGGGGCAGGAGATGGTCCAGCTCCTGCTGGTGGCCGCCAGGAGGGCGCTGACCCCGGTGCAGAGGGACCTGCTCTGGGCCAGCCTCCCGGAGTGCGGGCACCCGGGCCGGCTGAGGCTGGCCTTCGAGGAGGCCCGCCAGTGGGCCTCCTTTTCCGTGCCGGCCCCTTTAGCCACCACGGCCGAGGAAGCGACACACCAGCTCTGCGCCCGCCTGGAGCAGACACACGGGCAGCTGCTCGTGGGCCGCGTGCTCGGCTACATCGTGTCTTCCCGGTAAGTCTCTGCTTCTGTGGTTTTTTGTTTTATTTTGCTGTTGTTTTTTAACTCTGTTTCCCCCCCTTTTTTAAAAACTGGGATATAGCTCATGCATTCACTTCCTGCTGTCACAAGTCACCAACTCGGGGGGCTTAGAACCACAGACATTTATTCTCGCATGTTTCCCGAGGCCAGAAGACTGAAATCAAGGAGTCCGCAGAGCCGTGCTCCTTCCGAAGACCCCAAGGAAGAATGTATTCCGAGACTTAGGTTCTAGGTCCCGGCCGCCCGGGGCATGCCTTGGCGTGTGGACGCGCCACTCCAGTCTCTGCCTCCATCCTCACGCAGCCTTCTCCTCCCTGCGTGTCTCCGAGTCTTCTTGTTTGTTTTGATGCACTCTCATCCAGAGAGAGGGAGCACAGTGGTGTCACCATAGCTCACAGCAGCCTCCAACTCCTGGGCTCAAGCGATCCTCCTGCCTCAGCCTCCCATGTAGCTGGGACTACGGATGTGCACCACCATGCCCGGCTAATTTTTCTATTTTTCAGTTTTTGTAGAGATGGGGGGGGTGTCTCACTGTGTTTCCTAGGTTGGTCTTGAACTCCCGGCCTCAGGCGATCCTCCTGCCTTGGCCTCCTAAGCGCTGGGATTAACAGGCATGAGCCACCGAGCCCAGCGCCCATTGCTTTTAGATAGTATCCACCTTCCTCACCACGGCCTGCCAGACCTGGCCGCCCCCTGCCTGGAGCACCTGCCCCTAAATCTTCCCCTGCTGGTTCTCTCCCGCCCGTCCAATCCCAGCTCACATGGCGCCTTCCCAGAGAGGGCTACTTGCTCCATGTTCCACATCCCTCCCGCACCCCTCTCCACGTCCCTCTCTTTCACGGCACTTCATTGGCCATCTTCCTACACTTGGTACTACTCGATGCTTCTGTGTTTCTTTCCTGCCCGGCTCCCTGCAGTAGAAGACAAGCTCCAGGGCAGGCGTCCTCAAACCACAGCCCGAGGGCCACATGCGGGCCAACTGGCACATTCATCCAGCCCTCCGGGTGTTTTTGCCGCCGCTGCCTGTCCTGCTTAGCAGCCGACTCGTGCTGGGCCCACGGTGCGCACTCTCCAGCGGTCTGAGGGACAGTGAACCGGCCCCCTGTTTAAAAAGTTTGAGGACCCCTGCTCCAGGGAGTCTGCAATGCACCGAGTGTTTGTGTCTCCCTAAAATTCCCATGTCGACCTCCTCACCCCCAAGGAGATGGTATTAGGAGGTGGGGGGCTTTTGGGGGGTGATTAGGTCATGAGGGTGGATCCCTCGTGAATGGGATTCGTGCCCTTATAAAGGGAACCCCAGAGAGCTCCCTTGCTCTTTGCACCACGAGGACACGGCAAGAAGGCGCCGTCCACGAACCATGCAGCCAGCCCCCACCAGACCTGCAATCCACCTGCACCTTCATCTTGGTCTTCAGCCTCCGGAACTGTGAGAAAGAGATGTCCGTTAGTCGAGCCACCCAATCGACAGTGCTTTTAGGATAGCGGCCCAGATGGGCTAAAATAGTTGCCCAGCTCTCTGCACCCCAGGGCGCAGGCAACACACACCGTGCCTCTTACAAAGACGACACTACACCAGTCGTCCCCGAGCAAGAGTGCCGGGGGGGCCGGGCGCGGCGGCTCACGCCTGTAATCCCAGCACTCTGGGAGGGCGAGGCGGGTGGATCGTTTGAGCTCAGGAGTTTGAGACCAGCCTGAGCAAGAGCGAGACCCGTCTCTACTAAAAATAGAAGGAAATTAATTGGCCAACTAATATATATAGAAAAACTTAGCCGGGCATGGTGGCGCATGCCTGTAGTCCCAGCTACTTGGGAGGCTGAGGCAGGAGGATCGCTTGAGCCCAGGACATGGAGGTTGCTGTGAGCTAGGCTGATGCCACAGCACTCTAGCCCGGGCAACAGAGTGAGATTCTGTCTCAAAAAAAAAAAAAAAAAAAAAAAAAAAAAAGAGCGCTGGGGCTCTGTCGATGAGCCGGGCCCTGTGTGTTGCAAACAGAAAACAGCCTTCCTTCCTTCCCTGCTCTGAAATGAACTCCATTTGGTTGTTCCACACCTCTGATGAAATTTCCAGCAAATCCCGCAGTTTCTCCAGTCTAATGCTCCCAGGAATTAATTAGGAAGGCCACTCCAGTCCTGGTACTGAAACCTCCGTGTCTCATCCTGTTTAAAGACACTCCATGGGCCAGACACGGTGGCTCGCACCTGTAATCCCAGCGCTTTGGAAGGCCGAGGTGGGAAGATCGCCGCTTGAGCCCAGGAGTTGGATACAGCCTGGGCCACGTAGCAAGACCCCATTTCTACAAAAAATACAAAAATTAGCCGGGCATGGTGGCGCGTGCCTGTCATCCCAGCTACTCGGGGGGCTGAGGCAGGAGGATCGCCTGAGCCCAGGAGTTGGAGGCTGCAGTGAGCTGTGATTGCACCATTGCACTCCAGCCTGCAGGACAGAGCGAGACCTTGTTTCCAAAAAACAACAAGAAGAAGATACTCCCCGGTGGGCCGGGGTGGGGTGGGGTGGGTGCAGCTGGCTTTTGCATCATTTTCTTTGCGTTATCTCGCCCTTCCCTCCTTATGCGGGCTGTCCCAGCCTCCTCTGAGGTTGGGGAGCCGACGCTTCATGGCTCTGCAGTGTTGAGTGCAGAGGGCAAGGTCAGAAGGGTCTCCTGTGGTGGGTACGGCCACAGGGGGCGCGGGTCCCAGCGCTGCCCCTGAGGGTGGGGGGCCGGACTCCTGCAGGTGGCCGGGTCTCTCCCTCTCTTGGCTTAAGGCACAGGACGCCTTGCCCAGCCCCGGCCCTCCTCCGCAGGTGCGGGCTCTCAGAGGCGGAGCTGAAGGACGTCCTGTCCTTGGACGACGAGGTCCTGCAGGCCGCCTACCGGGACTGGACCCCGCCCAGCAAGGAGCTGCTGCGGTTCCCGCCCCTGCTGTGGGTGCGGCTCCGTCGCGACCTGGGCTACTGCTTGGCCCGGCGGCCCGCAGACGGCTTCACGCTCCTGGCCATCGGCCACAGGTAGGTCCGGCCGGCGGCGGTGGCAGCGGTGACGCTGTCTGGGCCAGGACCCCGAGAACGGGGGACTCGAGGACCGAGCACCTCTGGGTGTGCCAGATGCTTCCTCCCCGCCCAATCTCCAAGACGCCAGTCCAGTGTGTGCGGAGCGCTGGGGTCCCCACCCCAGAGACTCCCGCGGGAGGCGCTGGTTCTTGGACTCGAAGTGAAATTCCCGTGACACGCAACTCACCGTGTTAAAGTGGAGGGTTCAGGCCGGGCGCGGCGGCTCACGCCTGTCATCCGGCACTCTGGGAGGCCGAGGCGGGCGGATCGCTCGAGGTCAGGAGTTCGAGACCAGCCTGAACCAAAAGCGAGACCCCCATCTCTACTAAAAATAGAAAGAAATTAATTGGCCAACTAAAAAAAATACATATATATAGATAAAATGAGCTGGGCGTGGTGGCTCGTGCCTGTAGTCCCAGCTACTCGGGAGGCTGAGGCAGGAGGATCGCTTGAGCCCAGGAGTTGGAGGTTGCTACGGCACTCTAGCCTGGGCAACAGAGTGAGACTCTGTCTCTAAATAAATAAATAAATAAAGTGGAGGATTCGGTGTCATTCAGGACACTCGCAAGGTTGTGCAACCGTCCCCACTCTGCCTAGTTCTAGAACATTTTCGTTGCACCCAGAGGAGACGCCGTCCCCCTCAGCAGTCTCTCCCCACTCCCGCCCCCCCAGCCCCTGGCAGCCACTCATCTGCCGCAGGGAAGACCAGTGTCCGCACCCCCAGCTCCCGGGTCCCTCAGCCTGTGCCCCCTCTCCGCAGACAGCTGGCCGAGGTGGTCCGCGAGCGCTACCTGCCGGGGCCCGAGAGAGCCAAGAGGCACAGCGTCTTGGCCGACTTTTTCTCGGGCGCCTGGAGCCAAGGCACCAAGAAACTCATCACCCTGCCGCTCGTGGGGAAGCCCCTGAACTTGGACCGCAAGGTGAGGCGCCCGGGCCCCCTGCTTCCCACCCGCAGCCTCCACCCTGCAGAGCCGGCAAGGCCACGGCTACCTGGTGCGGCACGCCTGCCCCCTTCCTTCCTCCTCTCCCACTCAGAATGGCGCGGCGGCTCACGCCAGTAATCCCAGCACTTTGGGGAGGCCGAGGCAGGAGGATCGCTTGAGGCCAGGAGTTCAAGACCAGCCTGGGCAACATAGCAAGACCCCCATCTCTAAAAATAATAATAATAATAATTAAAAAAAAATTAGCTGGGCATGGTGGCACATGCCTGTAGTCCCAGCTACTGGGGAGGCTGAGGCAGGAGGATCGCTTGAGCCCAGGAGTTCGAGGCTGCAGTGAGCTGTGATTGCACCACTGCACCCCAGCCTGGGCGACAGTGAGATTCTAAAATACTTTTAATTTTGAAATACTTTTAGATTCACTGAAGAGTTGCAAGAAGAGTACAGAGAGTTCCCATGGACCCTTCCCCTAGATATAAAATCTTATATATCCACAGTGCAGTGATCACAACTAGGAAATTTCACTTTTGAATCTTTGGTTATAGCTTAATTTTCCCTTTTTCTTTGTCTCCCCTGCTGGACTGGGGAGGCTAGAGGCAAGGCCAGGCCTTATTCTTTTCTTTTCTTTTCTTTTTTTTTTTGAGACAGAGTCTCGCTTTGTTGCCCAGGCTAGAGTGCTGTGGCGTCAGCCTAGTTCACAGCAACCTCAATCTCCTGGGCTCAAGCGATCCTCCTGCCTCAGCCTCCCTAGTAGCTGGGACTACAGGCATGCGCCACCATGCCCAGCTAATTTTTTCTATATGTTTTTAGTTGGCCAATTAATTTCTTTCTATTTATAGTAGAGACGGGGTCTTGCTCTTGCTCAGGCTGGTTTTGAACTCCTGACCCTGAGCCATCCGCCCACCTCGGCCTCCCAGAGTGCTAGGATTACAGGCATGAGCCTCTGCGCCCAGCCCAGGCCTGATTCTTTTCTGATGCTGAGCTTTCCTCTCTCCAATGACTCAGAGACCCTCTTCTGTGTGCCCAGAGCCCCTGCGGTCTCAGCCTCATCCTGCCCGCCCCCCCCCCCGGACGTAGTCTGACCCCTTTTCTGGTCTCCCAGTTTCGGGACCTCTTGCCCCAGTTCATCCTCCCAGGGAATGCTCTGACAGTCCAGTCTGGTCATGCCTCTCCTCTAACACCTTCCATACCTCCCCAGTGCCCTGTCTTGAGCTCGACCTCCAGCCTGACGTTCACCTTCATGACCTGCTGCCTAAAACCTCCCCAGTCTCATTCCCCACCGTGATTCTCTTCCTGGCCTTCTACATTAATAATTCAGTCCTGGCCGGGCGAAGTGGCTCACGCCTGTAATCCCGGCACTCAGGGAGGCCAAGGCGGGCGGATTGCTCAAGGTCAGGAGTTCGAAACCAGCCTGAGCAAGAGCGAGACCCCCGTCTCTACCATAAATAGAAAGAAATTAATTGAGTAACTAATAAATATAGAAAAAATTAGCCGGGCGTGGTGGTGCATGCCTGTAGTCCCAGCTACTCGGGAGGCTGAGGCAGGAGGATCGCTTGAGCCCAGGAGTTTGAGGTTGCTGTGAGCTAGGCTGACGCCACAGCACTCACTCTAGCCTGGGCAACAAAGCGAGACTCTGTCACACACACACACACAAAAAAATAATTCAGTCCTGGCATTCCGTCCCTTTGCCCTGTAATCCCGCTGTTCTCTGACGCATTTGCCAGACGGACTCCTACTCATCCTCTGAGGCCCAGCTCCAATGCCCCCACCTTCAGGAAACCTTCCCTATTTCCCCAGGAAGTGTCACCCACCACCCGCCTTGGATTCTCCTCTCCCGAAACCCCCCAGCCCTGGCCACGGGGGACGAGGGGCACCTTGGTCGGCCGCTGCGTCGCCGGCCCCTCCGGCCCTGTCTGGGGCCTGGCCTGTGTCTGTGTCCGAGCTGCGGCCTCCCTTCTCCCCTGCCAGGTGGCCCCTCAGCCCCTGTGGTTCTCGGACACGGTGGCCAACGTGCGCAAGCTGAAGGAGCTGCCCCACCACCTGCTCCGCTCGGGCCGCCTGGAGGAGCTGAAGCGGGAGGTGCTGGGTAAGGGCTGCCCCGCTCGCTCCCGCCTTCCAGGCCCGGGGAGGCGGAGGGCAGACGCGGAAATCCCGGGCTCCGCCTAAGGCAGGGACCTCTGCTCTCACGAGCGGACATTCTGCACCTGGGGACCCTGGACAGTGTCTGCAGACAGTTTCGCTTGTCACGACTGGGGGACAGGGGCTACTCGGATCTAACGGGTGGAGGCCAGGGACTCTGCTCAGCACCCCACGGTGCGCAGGACAGCCCGCCGCAGGGAACGATCTGGCCCCACATGTTGATAGTGCAGGGCCTATCCCTGCCTCAGCAGGGAAGACCGTCTGTCTGTCCACCCATCTGTCCTTCCATACATCTATCTATCCACTCATCCATCTTCCTGTCTGTCCACCCACCCATCCATCCACCCACCCATCCTTCCATCTTACCATCCATCCATCCATCTTCCTATTTGTCCATCCATCCACCCATCTTTCTATCATCCATCCATCCACCCATTCATCCATCCACTCACCCATCCTTCCATCTTCCCATCCATCCATTCATCCATCCATCTTCCTATTTGTCCATCCATCCATCTTTCTATCCATCCATCCATCCATCCATCCATCCATCCATCCATCCATCCATCCTCCTATCCATCCATCCATCCTTCCATCTTCCTATCCATCCATTCATCCATCCATCCATCCATCTTCCTATCCATCCATTCATTCATCCATCTGTCCATCCATCCACCCACTCATCCTTCCATCTTCCCATTTATCCATCTTCCTATTTGTCCATCCATCCATCTTCCTATCCATCCATCCATCCATCCATCCATCCATCTTCCTATCCATCCATTCATCCATCCATCCATCCATCTTCCTATCCATCCATTCATTCATCCATCTGTCCATCCATCCACCCACCCATCCATCCACCCACCCATCCTTCCATCTTCCCATCCATCCATCTTCCTATTTGTCCATCCATCCATCCATCTTTCTATCCATCCACCCACCCATCCATCCACCCACCCATCCTTCCATCTTCCCATCCATCCATCCATCCATCTTCCTTTGTCCATCCTTCCATCCATCTTTCTATCCATTCATCCATCCATCCAGCCACCCACCTATCCTTCCATCTTCCCATCCATTCATCCATCTTCCTATTTGTCCATCCATCCTTCCATATTCCTATCTATCCATCCATTCATTCATCCATCCATCCATCCATCCACCCATCTTCCCATCCATCATCCATCCATCCATCCATCCATCCATCCATATTCTTGTCTGTCCATCCATTCATCCATCCTTCCATCTTCCTATCCATCCATCCATCTTCCTATCCATCCTTCCATCTTCCTATCCATCCATCCATCCATCCACCCACTAGTCCATCCCTGTGATTCTCAACTAAGGGAGACTCTGCCCCCCAGGGACACATGGCGATGTCTGCAGACATGTTTGACTGTCACCCTTGGGGGCAGGGGTGCTACTGGCTTCTTGTGGGTGGAGGCCAGGCTTGCTGCTCTACATGCCACGATGCACAGTTGGGCCCTGCACGCACACACACATCCCAGAGAATCATCCAGCCCCAACGTCAGTACTGCTGAGCTTGAGCCTGGATGAACTGGGAGGTGATTCTCTGCCCCCAGGATGAACTGGAGGTGAGTGTGTCCTTCCCACATCCTCCCCCTTTTTCCTCCGCAGGCAACATGAGCTGGATTTCTTGCCGGGCCATCTCCGGGGACATTGAGGACCTGCTGGACGATTTCGACCGGTGTGCCCCTTACCTGGACTGTCCTGAGGTCCGCCTGGTCCGCGAAGCCCTCCAGCTCTGCCGCCCGGCCGTGGAGCTCCGAGGCATGGGTGAGTCTGCACGGCCTGGCCAGCGGGGGCTGCTCTGCTCTGGCCTCTAGAAACCCACTCTCCTCCCTGAGCTGCGAGCTGCATTTTCATTAAACCTCGCGCCTTTCCCGGTGAAACCTGTAGGTTTTCTTCTAGCACTTCTAGAATTTTTGAATTGAACCTGGGAGAGCAGCGCCCATGCCCTCACCCTGGGCCGGCACCTTTCTCTAGAAAGGCTCAGACAGGAACTATCTCAAGCAGAATTGAGGAAATTGTGTAGGTACTTATGTAACGAGAGAAAACAAAGGTCCCAGGTATTTGTATTGATGAAATTCAAAATACAGTAACAGTAACAGCAGAATTTAGGGTTGAAAGTTTATGTTCCTTGCTATTCGGTCCATTGCAAACACAAGGCTGTAGGGACTTTTATTTTTGAGACAGGGTCTCACTCTGTTGCCCTGCGTAGAGTGGTTGCTCCCAGCAACCTCAAAATCCTGGGCTCAAGCGATTTTCCTGCCTCAGCCTCCCGAATAGCTGGGACAACAGGTGCATGCCACCGCGCCCTGCTAATTTTTCTATTTTTGGTAGAGATGGGGCCTTGCTCTTGCTCAGGCTGGTCTTAAACTCCTGGCCTTCCACTGATCCTCCCACTTCTGCCTCCCAAAGTTCTAGGATTACAGGGGTGAGCCACCCCGCCCAGCCATGAACACAGATTTTGAGCCCTGCTGTGTTGATTCAAATCTTGGCTCTGTCACTTACAGGCACCGTGGCCTTGCCAAACCCTTACTATCCCTTCCGTTGTCCCCCGGTCCTCAGTTTTCCCATCTGCAAAATGGGGATGCGACCATCCCAGCTAGGGCTGTTGGGAAGGATGCGTCTGTCAGTTCATGCAGAGCCCCTTCCCATCGAGGGTACCATCGAGGGTCCTGTTACTGTCAGGTGACAGCATCAATGTCGTTGACGCAAATGGCCTTGGATGAGCTATTTCTGCCCGGAACCCCCGTTTTTGTAATCTGCAAAATGTGGGATCGAGCTACAGTGTGTCTAAGATCTCCCCCACTTGGAAGACGCTGCAATCAGTTGTGTCTTTCTTATGCATTCATGCAACCCCTGCTGAATACCTGCTCTTCCCCAGCCATGGCGTTGGCCCCCGTGGAGGCCCAAGGACAGTTAAGGCCCAAGGACAGTTAAGGTTTGCACCTGCTCTGGCTTCCCAGGAAAATGGCTTTGTGCACGGCCGCGCAGTTTAAGGGAAGATGTGAAAGCCCAAATCTTAGCATAGTCTTTGCAGAAGCCCTTGATTGACAACCTGTGGCTGCCCCGGCACAAGGAGGAGGTGTAGGAACAAATGTCACCACCAGAGGGCACTGCGGGATGACCGTGAGCCCTCAGTCCGTTCCAATTTATCCAGTAAACTCAGAAAAGGGGGACTTCCAGCATCCTAAGTGAGCCGACACGAGCGGTATTCCTGATGACCCCCTTTGGCTCAGGCTCCAATGTAACTGGACATGGTGCTATTTCTGATCTGTGTGGGTGTGTGTTTTAAATAGACTTTTTAAAAAATTATTTTTAAGGGTGGGGTCTTGCTATGTTGCCCAGGCTGGAGTGCAGTGGTGCAATCATAGCTCACTGCAGCCTCCAACTCCTGGGCTCAAGCGATCCTCCTGCCTCTGCCTCCCAAGTAGCTGGCATTACAGGTGCCTGCCAAGATGGCCAGCTCATTTTTCTGTTCTTAGTAGAGACGGGGTCTCACGCCTGCTCAGGCTGGTCTCAAACTCTTCAGCTCAAGTGATCCTCCTGGCTTGGCCTCCCAGAGTGCTAGGATTACAGGCATGAGCCACGCTGCCCGGCAGGAATAATTGCTGGACCAGGGTCCTTCCTCTTACTGGCTGTGTGAACTTGTGCAAATTGCTTAACCCCTCTGTGCCTTGATTTTCCCCATTTATAAACTTGAAATAGTAATTGTGAAATCTCTGTGTAGTAGGCAGAAAAACTGCTCCCCTAAAAGCTCTACCTTGGTATCCCTGGGGGATTAGTTCTAGGTCTCCTGTGGATACTAAAATCTCTGGACACTCAAATCTCTGATATAAATAATTTAGTATTTGCATATAACCTACACACATCCTCCTGTAGAGTTTAAATCTCTCTAGATTATTTAAAATACTTAATACAATGTAAACACTATGTATATAGTTGTGATACTGTATTGTTTAGGGAATCGTGGCAGAAGTCTGTCCATGTTCAGTACAAGTGCAATTTTTTCTACATTTAAAAAAAATTCTTGGCCGGGCGTGGAGGCTCACACCTGTCATCCTAGCACTCTGGGAGGCCGAGGCGGGCGGATTGCTTGAGGTCAGGAGCTCGAAACCAGCCTGAGCAAGAGCGAGACCCCGTCTCTACTATAAAATAGAAAGAAATTAATTGGCCAACTAATATATATAGAAAAAATTAGCCGGGCATGGTGGCACATGCCTGTAGTCCCAGCTACTCGGGAGGCTGAGGCAGGAGGATCGCTTGAGCCCAGGAGTCTGAGGTTGCTGTGAGCTAGGCTGACGCCAGGGCACTCACTCCAGCCTGGGCAACAAAGCGAGACTCTGTCTCAAAAAAAAAAAATAAAGTAAAATAAAAATAAAGACCTTATTAGCTGGGCGTGGTGTGGTGGCGTACAACTGTAGTCCCAGCTGCTCGGGAGCCTGAGGTGGGAGGATCGCTGGAGCCCAGGAGTTAGAGGCTGCAGTGGGCTACGATGGTGCCATCGCACTCCAGCCTGGGCGACAGAGCACCAGTCTGTCTCCAAAACTGAGAGGAAACGAAACGAAATGAAATGAAATGTAAAAACACACACACAAAAAAACGTGACATCGCTACTGCGCTACAACCTGAGCCGGGAGGGGCGTGGGGGTCGGAGGTCAGGGCTGCAGAGTGCTTTTTTGCAGAAGCGACCTTTGTGCTAAGCCGAGGGCGAGGGGCTGGCTGTGCGACACACAAAATAGCAAACGTCAGAGGTCACCTGCGCTCAGCTCACGGCTGCTCGCCCGCATAATTTCACCACGCTCCTGACTCCGAGAGGGCAACTGCACGGCTCTCTGAAAAGGGGCTCTGAAGACAAAATACAATAGGGCATGGGGCCCCCCCGCGTCTCTCGCCTGAGTCACTTCACTCCTTAAAAGATAAACGAAGGTGGCCCTGGCTTTTTCCCACACATAAAGCAACATCTGACGGGGCTGATGACTGTGCTTCTGTGATCTAAGGTCAGACGTTCTCTTGCCTCCAAAGCTTGACGTGCCGCCGCTGGAATGTAACTTCTGAGCAAGGCTGGTGTGATCTTGGGCGCCCTAAACCCCCGCCACCTGTCCGCCTACGGGCAGCCCGTCGAAGCACCGTCCCGGGCCAGTGCGATCGAGCCTGTCTGCACGGCTGCCCCTGGGCCTTGGGTCCCGGTTTATAGTCCTCAGTAGGACTTCTGAGTAAAACCAACTTGAGTTCTCTGAAAGTTTGATTCCCCCCCTCCTTAGTCACCAGGTGGTATGGGAAAGGGGAGAAGGTGGGAGAGTGTTCCAGGCAGAGGGGGCAGCATGTGCAAAGGCCCTGAGGCCGGAGACGCCCGGGTGCTTGAAGCAGGGGTGAGGGTGTCTGAATGGCAGAGAAGGAGGCAGGAGAGGATGGCGGGGGGCCGGCACCCACCGCGTTGGGTCGTCTCTTCTGTCCGGAAGCCCCTGCAGGGGTGGGGACTCCGCCCAGGCGGCTGAACCGACGTCCTTTGTTGTAGAGCGGAGCCTCCTCTACACGGAACTCCTGGCCAGACTCTGCTTCTTCGCCGCCTCGCACAGAGCGCTGGTGGGGCCGCTGTGCCAGCAGGCCCAGAGCTGGTTCCGGGTGTGCCCACACCCCGTGCTGGTGCCCCTGGCGGGCTTCCTCCAGCCCCCGGGGGGGCCCCTCCGGGCGACCCTCACCGGCTGTCACAAAGGTGAGTCTGTCTCCCCAGCACGGCAAAAGTCCCGACAGGCCCCTGCCTGCCCGGCGGCAGTGGCCGGCAGGGGTTTCGGGGCGCTCTCTGGGGCTCCCCTCCGCCAGCGGGAAGGCCCCCAGGGTGCCATCAGGGCCCGCCCCTGCTGTCTCATGCTGAATCGGCTCTCTCTGCGCCCCAGGGGGTTTAGGAGACTGGTGTAAATACTGCTAATGAGCATCCGGCGGGGGGTGCCGCCTGCCTTCCCACCGCCAAGAGCTTAGCACCCACCTTGCAGATGCAGTCTGCAGCTGACGGGCTGCGAGTCCGCGCCTGACACCCGGCTGGCCCCTGAGGGCCGACGGAATTGTAGGCTGCCCCCGGGACCCGGGGTGTCAGGGAGAGAAGAAGTTTTAGTTTTTGCTTTTGCCATTCATTTGTTATCTGGTTTTTTTTTCTTTCATTCACCCCATCCATTCATCCATCCACCCAGCCACCCAGCCACCCACTCTCCCTCCCTTCCATCCATCTATCCACCCACCCTCCCTCCCTTCCATCCATCCATCCACCCACCCAGCCACCCATCCTCCCTCCCTTCCATCCATCCATCCACCCACCCTCCTACCCTTTCACCCTCCCACCCTTTCATCCATCCATCTATCCACCCACCCTCCC